CAAAGAAAACCTCACCGCAAAGTTACAAAACTCAAAGCAAAATTCTACCTTTTCCTGGGTTAGCCTAATCGGGCTCTGAAAAACCCGGCCCAGGAGCTACGCTTTTAGGCTGGCCTAAATCTATGTATTACCATTACTCATTTATTATATGACTGAAAAAATTCTAAAGCGAGCGCGTTAATTTGCACTGGAGTGCAAATTAAGAATTAACGATAAATTGGACTGCTCTCGGCCAATCACAATGAAGTAATTTTCTCAGTCATATAATAAATACGCTAACAACACCTTTCAAAACGTTAAAGATAGATAGCTTTATTGTTACTGTACTTACCTTCCATTTATGTCGTTAAGGTAATCTCTTAACCTGACACCAGCTGAGGAATCCCCATAGGTGTCAAAAGTGTTTGACCCTAGGACTGCTCCTATATTCAAAAACAACGAATGTCAGCTACAGCAGTCAATGCAAGTGATTTGTTGTAATCTGAATCTATATATAAATATATGTTAACTGAACGATTTTTGGAGGTTTTGTGCCCAAGTGGCTTTGGGCTCCAGAGGTCTCAGGTTGAATCCCTACACTTTGCAACGAGAAGGATTAACGTACAGTAGTCCGGTACTCCTGCAGCTCTCGTGAGGGGGCGGGGGGGCTACTTTCATATATAAGCTATATGGGTATGTGCTGCTGTGAAGGGTATGGTTTACAGGCAGTTTAGCTGGGATATGGTACAGAAATCACACAGTTTTGGTCTAGAATGGGGTATAATCTACCGGAAAAGTGGCCAGTGTATAAATAATTTAGTGTAAACAGCGTTTTTACCTTTGGTTCTATAATATAAATTGAAACTCGGAAGCGACTTTTTGGATATTGATTAAGTTAGCGTAGTTGAACTATGATAGTGATAAAGTTTCTGTATGGAAAATAGCTAGTCTGGGATATGTTAGGGGTTCTTAGTGACTAGTCTGGAATGGAGTTGTAAAATCAAGCTGATCATGGTCTAGTTTAGATAAATTAATTAGAGGGTTTCAGTTTACCAGCGGCACACTCTTACTCAAATATTTACAGCATGGCCCCCGGGCTCCAGCATCCTTGGTTACCCTTTGCCACCAATTGGCCACGGTCTGCCTCGTGTCATGAGTGTAATACAAAACATTTGCCAAGACTACTGACAATGCAAATCGTTGTTGTATACCTGTTTTAGCATCCACAATGACAACATTATGACCCCTGTCAAAATTAGACGAATGGTCTTTTCCATTCACGACGATGTAAGCACGGCTCCCAGCCCCAGAGGTCTTTGGAGGATCATTGAAACCTTCGCTTCGAATGTAAATATTCAGAGTAGAGGCTACAAAAAAAACACGCATGACATAATTTAACAACCCGTGTTAGTTCCTATTTTTTTTACCATTTTGGCGTTGATCTAGATTTTCCAACTCACGTACCAGGTAGTAATTGGTAGAAAAATCATCGCAGTGAAAGGGGAACACAGTTCGATGGTGATTAGAGTGATTGGTATAAAATTAAAATCACCGAGGCGAAAAGGGAAAGCATATCGGAAAATCACCGAGGAAAAGGTGGATAAACTTTGCTGGTATTTGGTGCAAAGGTTGCTGTGATGAACAGATCCCACGTTTAGATGGTGATTGATAGAAAAATCTTCGTATAAAGAGGCCCTTTTTTCGGTTGTGATTGCTAAAAAGATCATAGCGGTGAAAAATGAACTCCTGGGGTGATTGGTGGAAAACTGCCATTATGGAAAAGGAACATCTTTCTCCGTTGATGGCTAGAAGGAGTCACCTGCTGGTGAAAATAGAATAATATATTTCTCTGGAAATTTACAACAGTAGTGTAGTCATTATAGCATAGGTAAAAGGAAATTGCATGGAAAATTAACTCATAATAAAATTTGTTATATTTTGAGAAGACTAACAAGTTTTAGAAAAGTCAGTATCTACAATTCCCTAAACTTTATTAACAAGTCTTTAACATCATCATTCCTCACCAACACAACTGTTTTTTCCGTCACCAAAAAATCCTGGATTGCAGATACAACTGTATGACCCTTGTGTATTGTTGCACACTGCGTCACTATGGCAACCATGAAGTCCTCTTCTGCACTCGTCAATATCTATGTATTAAAATTGAATGTTCTATTAGTATAGTTAATCCCAAAATTTCGAGCGCAATTTGGAATAAATCGGCAATAATACAAAGGGTAACAAAATTGCACGTATGTTATTTGTAGTCTGAATAATTTACAAATGCTCATTTAGTCCAATTACCTGACGAGCGTTAAAAACACGCTTGAATAAATACTCTTTACAGCCTATGGCATTACATTAACTTGTTACACGGGCAGCGGGCAGTGCCCCATGTCTTCCAATTTTCTTAGAAAATATTATCGCAAGACTTCCGAAAATTTTCCGGTGATCTTATATTCGGAAGGGTTCGGATATTTTCTATTTTTCTTCGGTTATCTTCGGAATACTTCTGGTCAAATTCGACGGTCTTCTAAATATCTCAGAACAACGTCGGCACTTTACGCCTTTCTTTGTACAAAGTAGATAATCTTCTTTGTAACTGGCACTCGCATAACAAATTTGAACTTGTAGTACACTCACGTACTCCTGATACGGAAAAGTAGTCCTTTTTAGCCAATCGTAATTCAGTGATTTTATTAAGTGTATTAGTAATATATCTCTTAGGGATCTAAAATAGGGGGGAAAGGAACAGTGGCAATTTTCTAGAATCAATAGTATTTTTAAAAAAATAACTTTTAATGCGTAGATACGTACTCCGTAGACTGTTTTTTTATTTTTTTATTTTTTTATTTTTTTATTTTTCGGTAACTGTAGAGTAAGTTTAATTGTAATTTTTGTAATTGTTCGAGCAAATAAAAAAAAAGAAAAAAAACATTTAATTAATGGCGTTTTCAACGGCTAGATTTTTGGTCACCTTCGCAGCTATTATTGCCATCCCCATGAAATCCTGGTTTGTAGGTGCATTTCTGTGATCTTTTTGTATTGTTACAAGTTGCATTGCTATCGCAACCATAGAGGCCTTCTCCGCATTCTTCGATATCTAGGGAACAAAAAACATTAGCTAATCTCCCAGTCGCTTCGTGTTACGTAACTTCTCGGGAAATTAAACTTGGAAATGCTAAGGTGGCTTTTAAATCCACTCCTTCGATTCGCATGCAGCTGGATTTTAACATGATGATCACAATTTAGTGACAAAAATTGGAACGACTGACTAGCTGAAATCGAGGATTATACTGTTACTATGGTAACTTGTAATGTCGAAAATATAACTTCGCCAATCATTTGGAATTATTTTTAGTGTCAATTCGATTAAATTAAATAGAAATGCAGAAGTATGCTCTCTACTGTTGCGAGCCTATCTGCTTTCAACTTGGGCTAGGGACAGATGGTGAAAAAAGTGAAGGAAGTGCTAGAGGCCGTCAGAAAGTAATTGCGGACAAAGGCAAAAGGAGGTAAACCTAGTTCAACTCAAATGTTTTTTTTAATTCTATTCCTGTTTAAAATATACTCACGTGTTTTAGAGTTGTTTTTAGTAAATCCTGGCACACATACACATTGACATGTCTCATGTTCAAAGTCTGAGAAGCAGCGAGCGTTCGCCGGACACTGAGCTGTTACACACGGATTCTGTTGTTGTTATGAAAAAGAGTTCTGTTGTCAATATCAGTAGATACTTGTATTTTGATAAAAATGTTGGTCAATTTTTGGTTCAGTTGATTAGTTCAAAACTCCACCGACTTTCTATACCTGGGTTTCACCATAACAGCATAAATCCACAAAAAATATTTTTTGTTCAAAATAGACCAATTTTTGGTTAAGATAATTGAAAGCTTCATACCAGGGTTCCAACATAGAGATGTCCTTGTTTTGTTACCCAATCCTGTGGATCTCTGATAGCATCAGAGTTACTCAGCTCACACACGTGACCACCGCCCTCCTTTGGACCAAAGTTGTATGACTCACAGGTGATCTCAATGAAGCATCGTATCTTACAAACTTCCTCTGATGTCACTGTCGGGCTACTTATCACGTGATTTACAAGTGCCTTGTTTGGAACTGGCTTCACAAATGTCTTTCTTATGCATGGGACATCTGTTACAAAAAAAAACCACAGCATTGCAGTATTTGTTTATTTCAAGGCAACGTACCACAAACTCTAAATCTTGCACACCGGCACCCCAAGGCTAAATTTGATTGGCTTCGCAGAGGTTCAATAGATCAGCTCGTTTCTAGGCTAAATCAAGTGGTATACACGCCCTCAGTTTCATATTTACGATGATACTTGGCTTGGGCTTAAATAGATGGTGGACTTCTTGCCGATGGGAACGTCGACCTCGGAGCTGGAAGCGTTTCAGGAGTAAAAATGTTAGAAGATTGACCTTTGTAAAAATATTCCCTGGGGAATTTCCCTTTGGGAAGAGTGTGATTCCGTTAAAGTTTCCCCGAATAAACCGGGCCGTGAGGCCGTGAAAGCGGAAAGGCTCGGACTGGTGCAAACGATACAAAAAGTCGGTAAGTGGAACAGGAATTTCCATTCCAATTGCTCGATGGGTATATGGCTTTACCTTTTCAGAAGATCCTTTCCTCCATCAATCCTCGGAAATCCAGTGGCCTGAACCGAAAAGTCGTTTTCAGACGGTATTCCGACGGGATTTTCCGAAAATTAGTTGT